TTATGTTATAAATGTTTTGAAAGCCATACTTATGGCATACATAGAAAATCAAATACACTTACGAAGACAAAGTTTTGACTTTACTATAATATGCGATTATATAGCAGAACAAAAACTGTGATGATCATAATATTTTTAATGACGTTAACAATATTATGATTCATTTTCTGGGATATATTTCTTCTTAAGTATTATTCTTCAGAAAAGTCTTTAAAGAAAAATATCTAATTATAACAGAAATGTTCACCGGAGAAGAGTTTCATTAATGAACTCGCAAATGTTAGTAAAATGAAAACAGATATAGCTGAAGAGGTGAGTGTGTGTCGCGAGTGTCGGTTTACAGAACAAAATCTTAATTTGGATAACTTGCCAATAACCGGAAAATGCTATGAAAACAATATGCAAATTCAATTACAAAGAATGCGACACATGTGCAACACTAAAAACATTAAAAAAAAAATCATGTTTACGGTTGTAGCATGAAGAAGTTTGAGAACACCATTGAAGCAATTGAAGATAAACATTTGCATAAAAAACAAGAATATGGAGAAAGTGCAAAAGAACAAGGAAACACAAACATTTACGAATATGTGAATTTCAACCCATTCCCAACATACCAAAGAGTTGTAAATCATATACTAAATGGAGACAATGGAGATCCCAGCAATTACAACCAAAAACCCATAATGAAATCAAGAACTGTTATAATTCATTGTGGAATGGTAGCGATGGTATAGAAACATATTATACCAAATTGCGGAATACAGCAATAGCAGGATAAGACAAAACATTCAAGAAACGATCGGATACTAAAGGAAAGGTTTCCAGACAAGAACGCAACAGTATTGAACACATCATGTATACAAACACAACAGCACCGGTAGTATATGAAACAAACAATGTCACGAGTTGCATACAACAACGGATATTCATGGGAAAAGTTGCTGGATGCCCGATTTCTGAATTTTATCTTGACAAGAAAAATGTTTGAAGACACCGGAAAACGTGTAGGCAACCACCAACTTTGCTTGAATAACATAAGGACTATAATATTTTGTTATTTAATACAACTCTTATATAACCCAACAAACCTATCCCATGTTTGTGAAACTTGGTTTGGCGTTTACTTTTGTTTTGCCATACTTGTCTTCTCTAATGTTTTGCTGTTTGTATTGAGCAAATTGAAGTTTCGCAGGTTCCAGCTAGACGCTAAGCTAAACCGTTAAGTAACCCCTGTGGCGCCTTTTGTCCAACGGGGACTTGAGCCAGCAGGTAAGCGTAATTGATTGGCTAAGGACATCCAAAGTAAACATGGAGGCAGGGTAAAATCTACACAAGTGAAAACACACGTGACCAAGGCACTTGCTGGTGCAGAGGTCGGTCGGCGTCTTTTCAGTGGCATCGTAAACGAGGTTGCAGGTAGGTCCATTGACTCCCTCCTCGCGCGGAAGGGAGTGGGAGTGGAGTGGGAGTGGAGTGGGAGTAGGGGGTCGGGTTGGGCAAAAACCCTCAACCCTAAGACCTGCGGATTGAAGACAAAGACGTAGGAGAGGGGCTAGGGGCTTCTTGGGGGGGAAGGGGGGAGTCATGGTAGCGGGTACAGTTGTGGAAGCTCGCTTTCACAAATCAACAGCGCTGTGAGACCGAAGATAAGATGCTTTTTTCACCAGCACATCAAGATTTATGTGCGCCTTGGTCCGCACGTTATTTGCTTTGCACTGCTGCAGCCCCATGGTCTTAGACCGGCGGAGGGCAGCCGCTACTGGTACAACACTGGTGAAACGCGGTTTGGCTTGATGCAGGCTTGTTACCCGCGATGCAGCTCTGGACCGTTGAGTCTGAAGAGATCACGCCGTGGCACCGAAGTTTGTTGTCTTTCTGACGATCTTTCTGATAATCTTCTGATGTTGGCGTAGTTCTGTCTCAAACAATGCTTTGCTTGTTCCTGGCGCATACCTAGCTCTCGATACTTGCATGCCAGGTGCTGTGAAATGAGAATTTTCAGGTTTTTGCCCCCCGGTGGACCACCAGAGCGAAGGCCCGGCTTCAGCTGTTGCGGGCCCCATGGAATGAGATGCGTTTCTTCTGATTGTGTAGGACGCCATGCAAGAGTTTCGACAAGTTCTTTCAAGCAAAGCTCGAAATCGTTACAGTATGCAAAAAGGTTCACATCCGAGGCGTCGTTGCCGAAAGGCTCCATCATCCTGGAGGCTGCAGCCTTCAACCCAAAGAATGCAAGTGCAACAGAAATGGCCGCTGGATAGCACCAAGCACCCAGCGCGGCTGCAAGCGGGAAAGGGAGTGTGCAACAAAAGGTGAACAGCAGTATTACAAGGAAACCATCAAGCAGCACAGGCTGTTGCGCATGAGAAAGACAACGTGCATCCGTCCAGTGCCCGAGGAATTCGCTGAGCTTGTCGCTCACAGTACTCGCAGGATATTCCTGCAACCACTTGTAATCAACAGCAGCATCGACCACCATGAGGAGCCAGTGAAGCGACAGGTGCACCCGCGATTCTCGATCTGCACTTGCCAGCGCAGATTGCTCACGGTGGGAGATGCCAAAGCGGCTCAGCATCTCCAACTCCTCTGCCCCAAAGACTCCACCGAGGGAACCGCTTCGCAAATCTCGAGCTGACATTGTCAGGAGAACCAGCAGCAGTCTTCCAAACTCCCAATGCAAGTGAATCTTTGATTGGGTGAACTTGGACTGCTTAAGATTGGGAATGCACTGTGAGGCCGCCACTTTCAGGCATGCTGACATGCGCCTAAACGATTCATCGGCTTGGTTGAAACGATCAGCTGCTCGTTGAGCTTGATAAGCCAGGAGAAAACCAAGCACCAGGCCAGCCATCTCGTGTGCTTCACTGCCAACATCGATTGCCGGAGATAACTTCTTAGCAAGCCACTGAGTAGGAGACTGTTCACTGATTCCATATTCCTCATCTCCCAGTTGGTTCATCTCAATGACACCATGTGCCAGGTGACAACAAGCTGCTACAAGCAAGGTCGGACAAACCACGCCAGGGCTCAGAAGCAGTTTCAGCACCTGCCAACATGACCAAAGTCCATGCTTTTGCATTTTAAATTGGCGTTTCCAGTATGTGGAATCGCAACAGCCACTCTGGTCAATCTTCCAAGGCGGGGGATCTTCCTCTACATCTTCCAATTCATTCATCTCTCTCTCAATTGTCTCATCGATGCTGCCGAAGTAGTCCTCCTCCCAGATGGCAACTTTGGCTTGAAGATCTGGCGAATCTTCCCTTGGCAGGGCCCTGTCGCGGACTTGCCAGTCCAAACGCGGTGAAAACGTTGGAGGCTCCTCTCGGGGCCTTTCAATTTGAAAAGCTGGCGAAGGTTCCTGAAAAACGCCTCGCTTGATCAAACGTTCCACCAACAGGGACCAGTGGTCAGGCCGTGCACCGCCATCATTCACATCTGCTTCTGGAGTGCCGCCATCATTCACATCTGCTTCTGGAGTGCGCACCTGCCATCTGCCCCAGTTCAGGGCTTTGGAGTATTGGGAAGTCTTACATGCAGCTGGGTGCTGCCCTAAATTCTGGCCTGGCCCCCTTTTGAGGGTTTAAGGTTTAGGGTCGAGGGTCCAAATTCGAGAAAATATTCCCTAAATTTAAAGGACCCCCAGAAGGGTCCGTAGTTTAGAACAACACCCTGGGTTTAGGCTTTGTAGGACTTGGGGTTCAGGGTTTAAGCTTGAGGCCCTGGGGGCTTAGAGTCATGCAAGGAACCCTATAGTATAGCCCTAAACCCTAAACTGAAAAACCCTGCTTGAAGTTTTCATCTGAGGAGCTGCCGGGAGGGGCGCGGACCAGGAGGATGTCTGTCTCGGCAATGGATGCACCCTCATGCTGAAGCGGCAAGTGCGCGTCAAACCCTCAGCCACAAGCTTTCAACTCGAGCAACAACTGGCTTCTGGGAATGGCTGTCTTTATTGTGATCTCTTGAACGCCTTACATGCCGCAAGCTTGTTCGCCAGACATGTAGATTCACAAGTTGCCCATCCTTCCAGGCAAGTCACTGAACCTTGGCAGAAACATGCGCGCTAAGAGTGAGAACCAAGCGCTACAAATTCCCAGTGTCCTTCGGCAAGGTGATGACGTCGCTGATGAGGTCGTGCCATTGTGACCATAGTCCAGCCCAGGCCCATGAGTCGAAGCGCTTTAGAGTGCAAGTCCCACTGCACTCCCCTGAAGAAGATGCTGTACATACCCCCCAACCTAGATATAGTCCGTAGCTCATGTCATGGAGCCAGTTGACAAAGCCCTGGATGCCGGTAACCAGGCACAGTAGACCCAAATGCCTGAGCTTGGTAAACCCCTGATGCAAAACAGTCCCAATCCATTCCCCCATCAGCCTTCAGCAATATGCGGCTACGCTCCCTGCAAAGTCCCCCTCAGTATACCTGCGAAAATCGTGGAATCCTTGCCCCCCCCTCCTGCATCATCCTTCGCTGGTACACATGACAGGACTCAAAAGTGATTTATCATATGAGTCACTGCTGAAGAACTTTAACCTAATTACGATGCTATGAGCATACTGTAAACAGCATGGCTTCCGTATGCCAAACAAGTCAACTTCAATGTCTTAACAAGATGTACTGGCCACCAAAGTTGGAAGCTCTCAGCATTCAGAGAGTACCCCGAAACTCAGACACACCCCCTATAGCACTTTCCATTTCATTTTCCATTATCCTAATATAACCCCAATATAACCCTCAATATAACCCCAATATTACCCCAATATAACCCCAACATGACCCTCAATATAACCCCAATATTACCCCAATAGTTCCCCAATAGTTCCCCAATAGCTCAAAAGAAACCCATCTGAGCCTTCGAGGAGCTTCTGGAAGCCTATCGCCAGACCAACCATGCCGTTGTCACTCATGTAAGTATAGGGTTTAGGGCTTAGGGTTTAGGGTTTAGGGTTTAGGGCTTAGGGTTTAGGGTTTAGGGTTTAGGGCTTAGGGCTTAGGGTTTAGGGTTTGGGGTTTAGGGCCCTTTAAAAAGTGGGGTCCCCTAAACACCCTTCAGGATATTTGGGTAGAATTCTGAAAGTCATGATATTGAGAAATTCTCAAGTACTTGGCTAAAATACCTGGACCGCTTTTTGGGGATGGCAATGCTTGGAATGAGTTCCTAAATGCTTGAAATGAGTTCCTACGCATCGTGGGGAAAGCTGAGGGTCTGGCATCCCACTCATCAAATTTTGGGGTTCCTTTAGGGCTTGGAGTTTGAGGTTTTGAAAATGACTACGTCCCCTTCAAGGGGCCACGGGAAACAACCCCCCCAAATAAGAATGATAAAGAATACTTGAGGGGTGTGTTTAACTGAGGGGCATGTTTATGAGAGGGGAAGGATTACAAGACTCTTCTAGTACATCACGCGCATCCAAATTCGGGAAACGCACAAATGATGCTGATCGTTCATCTGCCCAGCAACCACAAAGAATAACACCGGAAGCCAAGTGTCTGATCCCTTCCAGGGCCTGCAGACTTAGCACCGCCGCCAGCATTAACAGGCGGCCTAGCGCGAGGCCGCAAATTTTGGTGCGATGGTGCGCACGTCACAGCAATCTCGAATCCTTATTGACACTGAGGCGCTCTGTCCAGCGCTTTTCGGGACTGCGCGTCACATCATCATGAGTGCTGTTGAAGGGAACCCCGTAAAAATCCAGCGCTCCAGCATATTTCTCCAAGCGCATCGAGTTCAGGACACCTTGAGGGGGGAATTATCAGACATATGAAGGTGAGGAAACCCCAATTTTTGCAAGGGTACCCTGGCACATAAGGCTTGTGTAGACCAGCCCTTAGAATAAATATCTCCATCTTATGCTCCCCAAAAACTGGATGCTGCCTACAGGGACGCACCCGCTCATAACATGAAAAGTCCTTCCGTGGTAGCTCCCCACTTGAAGGTGCCTAAGACTGAGGTCTTTCTTCTGCGAAAGTTTGCAGAGTACGAGGCCGCAGACGCTCGTCGAGCGGCAGGAGCTCCCTGAATCTGCAATCCCAACAGATAGGCTTAACTAAACAAATGCTGAATCCAACAGGAGAATATGATCTTAACCTAGATTGGGCACTATGGAATGAAGTCCGACAATCCGTAGATGATCCGCCTCTGATCCAATGAAAAACCACATGACCGACAAAGCGAGTATCATTCACGATTTCTGAATTGCCCAGACACATTGCTGACTAAGCTTCACTACCTTGCTGAAACTCTAAAGCTCGAACTCGTCGTGCCCATGACATCACCAAGGATTTGAGGAGGAGAGTTAAAGGTTGAAAGGGCGTTGCAGTTCCTATTACATCTTGCGAGTTACATCTAAGGTTGACACCATGGCCCCTGGTATGGACCTTCAACCCTGGGATCCTTAGAAACCTACTATCTTGCACCCTTAAGGGTCCCAAGAATCCCCCAAAAGGCTTGAGGCCCATATTCGGGGCCCATACTTGAAACCTTAGATTACAGGAAGCCATGCCCTCCAAACGCTGTGTACTTTCGAGATGATCCTTCCAGCTTCCGCCCCAAACAGCCTTGCCCTAACCTAGATGTTCGGCGTCGCTCAGATCTCAAACTGCTTCATCTCGGACCCGAGCCCGCCCCTGAAGCCATATGAAATAACCCAGTACCCGACCTACGTTAAAATGGTAATCACCACCCGCTTATCCCCAGTTCCTCCTATTCCTCCTCCTCCTCAACAACAACAAGAACAATAAAACCGATTACGACTACACGACCACGACCACCACCACCACCACCGCCGCCGCCGCCATCACCACCACCACCACCACCTCCTCCTCCTCCTCCTCCACCACCTCCACCACCTCCACCATTACAAATACCATGGTCAGTAGTACCAGTACCAGTACCAGTACCAGCATCACTCAACCCAACAACCTCAATCAGCCAAAGGCTGCTGCGACTACCTACATTCCTTGACATTGTCCCTCTTAACATTTACATCCTGCCACCGGAAGCCCAGCCCGTCACTCGAAGTGGCCGATGCTCATCGCGCCCCCTCGGCCGACCTTTGCCCCGAGCCTGAGTAGGCAGACGCATGGGAGGATTTGGCACGCACATGGGAAGCATGTGCAAGGCATGCAGAAGTAGTTCGAATTACTGTATATTCTGTAGACGATCTACAGTATTGAAACATGTCTGGTGGGCAATTGGGTATTGGACAGGGTGAGCTCTTTTCAATCCCGCATTCTGAGTAGTACAGCACTGCACATTGTAGATGTCATTGGGCAAGGGCACGGGATACGTGGCAAGGGCTTGCAGAACCTGACTTTCAGAGGCCTGAGTGAAGGTGTGCGAATCCCATCGACCCAAGAAGTACATCCTATCAAGCAAAGCTCAAAAGCGCCTGCAGGCCCTCGCCTTTTTCGGTGACCCTGAGCGAAACCTTCGAAAAGTGCTGGACTCGGGACACAACTCCCCGTGATGGCATTGTTGTTGGTTGCGTTTGTTGGGACCATTCTTCTGGTCGGGGCTTTTCGAAGCTTATGAACTTCCTGGAATCTTGCGTTCACGTCATGAAGTTTTCGGCAAAGGCCATGATGCCACGGCAAGCTACAACACCTCGCCACTGATGTCTAAGACCCTTCCCACGCAACGAAGGCCAGCTGTGCACCACTCCCACCCCCTCGTTTCTGCTACTGCTTCTGCCCTGGAAGCTATTGCTGGCAATGCCGCCGCCTCTGCCAGCATCTAAAAGACACATGTTTATCTTGAATTCATTGCATCCCTAGCAACGACCTCAACATGAATGCAGTTAGGCCTGCAACGGCTCTAAGAAGCTCTCCGCATGTTGCTCCCAACGTATTCCATAGAAAGTCATTGTGCATTCCGTCTGTGCCTAAACCCAGAAGCAACTGCTTGCAGGCAGGAGGCTTCAGGGATGCGGAGAGGTGCAATGAAAGCCGGGATGCGAGCCGCAGGATGACCTTAGAAATCATGAACTGGCTCGTGCTTAGAAGTTGAAGGCCCGGAAAAACGGTTGTGCATAGGTCCCCTTCTGAAATATTACCATAGGTTGATAACGATCCCAAGCTTGCTCTACAGAGGTGTAACGTTAAGAGCCTGGAATTTAGGCCTTCCGTTTTCGGTTTGGGGTTTAGGAGCTTTCATGGCTGGCAGTTTTCGACCCAGGTTTGAAAAGCCTGTTTAGGCCTAAGTTCAAGCAGCTATGCGCAAAAAAATGGGCTAAGCTGGCATGATTTTCAAAATCAACCAGGCCATTTGATACCTTCTCACCTCCCCATGGCTCAATCATCAGCATCAATGTGGTGCTATCAGCTATCAGGCTTTCATGTCGAAGGGTTGGGCAAAGCAATCAAGATAATTTGGTGTCCTTGGACCTGGCCAGGAGTGGAGTGTGTGGGAACCCAGAATATGATCGCCCAGAACCTACACTTTGGGCAAATCGCTGGCCAATCTCTTCTCCAAACGAGAAGCTTTCATTGCGCACGTTGGGACAAGGCTCAAAGACTCTGCTCAAGCCCGGATTGAGACTGAAGCCCGAACAAGGGTGTATGTTGCCTATCATCAATCCACCTCACACAAGATGCCAAACTTGTGCACAGTTGACGATGTCTGCATCCTGTTTTCCACTTCTTGAACTGAGCATTCAGTTGATGAACGCTCAAAGGCCTCGTCATAAACTCTCATAACACCAGAAAGAAGCCACGTGACGGAAGTGCTTAGGGCCTAGGGAGTGGATGGCAGGTGAGTCCGGCATCTGAGTGCCGAACGAAGGCGCCACCCAGCACAGCACAAAGGGAGGTACCGAAATCGTACCTCCAGGTACAGGGGACGTGTTCTCCAAGGGACATGCCATAGTGCCTGCTGAGCACTTTTGTGGGCCACCAAAGAATAAATCCTGGGGTTAGATTAGGGTTATATTGAGGTTATATTGGGAAAATGGAAAATGGAAACTACTGTAGTAGGCTCATGGCAAAAGAGGAGTGATTCACGTTTTGGAGCATGCAAAGCATCACGCAGAAGTCTGGAGCACAGCTTTGCTGCTGCTGCTGCGACTGCACCTGTACAGCTGCCGCGGTGCACAGCTCTAACACAACGAGAATAGTCATCAGCAAATCCTTTCCAATCTTGGGGATCCACAGAACTCTCGTTCCATCAGGGACTTAGGCAAGAGTTACAGAGTCTTAGTTGCATGTCGTCCTCCATAGTGCACCGCCGCTGAAGCTCTACTGAAGTGTATAGATCAATCGAGGAGCGAAAACCTTGAGAGCCAACGCTGTCAAACGAAGACTCACCTCTTAAGAAGCCTGTGCCTGCAAAGAAGCCAGTAATGCCAAATCACCATCGAACGCTGAGCGGATGCTGTAATCCAAAATAAATCCTGGAAAGCTTTACAGATCAATGTGAAGCAGATGTCTGATGCAACGCGATTCTTGAAATGCAGCTTCCTGGCTCTCGAGTATCAGCTGACCTCCAAGCAGAAGTCCTCCTCACAATGAAGCCCCTTTCCGGGACCGAAAGGTTGGTGAGACCGTGTTCACAGCGACACTCCTTCTCCCTGGTGCTCAGCAGACCGAAGGACCGCACAAAAGTATCTGTGCTTTTTCCTATTAGAGGACCAGGGAGCTACTAGCTTTTGATCTACCACCTGCTTGTCCTGAAAGAACCTACTTGTGCAATGTCTCCGTCCTACTGCTCACATTGCTTTGCAAAAGCATAACATCGGTCTATTCCATTCCAACCCACGCTTTTGTAACTTCGCGGAAACATAGGCCCACTTACGTTACCATTGCAAATCCTGCCTCAAATCTAGGATCCCTCTTTCACCCCTATGCAATCATTTGTTTAGTTCCGCTCTCATGCTATGCGATCCGTATGCAATCCCTTGGAAATCTCTCTGCAATCTGCATGTGCTGCCTATGGAATTACTGAAAACATAATGTAGTTCCGACTCAGCGAGTCGCAGCGCGAAAGGTTCGCAGCGTCTGCCCGATGCGCCTAGGAGACCGCAAGCTTCTGCAGGATTTTGGGGTCTCGAAACTTGAGGGGTCCCTTTCTTTGTAGGGTTCCCCAAACAAGGACGAAAACATCATAATGAAAGATTGGGGTATCCCCGTTTTTTATGAAAACTACCTCATGGTCGTGGCTCAAGGTACCTGTTTTGGGGGGTGCCTTGACATGTTCGGCCTGGGGAGGGCAAGCTCCAACTTGGTTTTGGCATGCCCTCGCAGACGGCAGCTTGCTCTCGGGGACGCTACCAAACGCTTGGTAATGTTAATGTTTGGGTACTGCCCCCCCTCAGTAACAGTTGGATAATAGATATAATATGGTTATATATAGCCTTTAATAGGACCCCTAATATAGACTGTTACTCTGGGGGGGGGGTGGAGTACCCAAGGTAATGTCATCTAGGGCAGATTTTGGTCGCCATCCCACACAGCAATTTGTCTTTTGTTGTTTGGCATGGCATGCTGCTGATTTGGTTTGGCAGACCCTGCCAAGGTCGTTTGGATTGGGGGTCACCTATACAGGACAGA